AATAAGAAAAGTTTATCGCTTAGTTACAAACCATTTCTTTTTCTATCTTTTTTGTTACTCATTTTTTTTTTTTAATTATATATATATGCACACACACGTCAATCTCTTGTGAAGATGTAACAAAGTTTTTAAAAATCAATACAATTTATATATTGTTTGTGTTTTAGTATCTAGATAGTCGATTTCGGATGCTGATGTCATAATTTTTGTTTAAACTGAAGTATCCAAGCCAATTGACGTACATCTCGACTAATCCTCAGGGGGAGTTATCTCACAATAATTCACCGTTATGATCCTCTAGGTAAATTATGAGCAAATGCACTATCTCTGCGTCTAACGGAGAATCGAACCTGAGACAATGGGTTCTATCTATTTGCAATCCTCTTGATTCTCCTTACCGCTGAGCTACCTATGGATATAGGTTGACATCATAAAATTTTTAATGTCACAACAAAAGATTAGTTTTATTTACATATGATTTTTTTTTTAGTGATTTAAGTAAGTTTTCGTATTAAAAGTTTGGAAGTTTTATATAATAAGTCTTTATAATTTCAGAAACAAATCTTCCAATAATACTATTCAAACTATTTTTCTTTCTTCTTTCTCTAGAACTTTAGTTCTTTCAATCATCATAATTAGTTTCTTCTACGCATCTCAATCAGCCTGTGATATAATGGTTTGATTTTTTTGTTATATAGATGATGGAATTAAATCTTTTCATGACGAAAAGCTGATGAAAGAATGAAACAAACATATAGTCTAGAAGTCTTGAACTAGATCTATTTTAAAAGGGACTTGAAAACACCACATCAATTGGGCAATAATCAAATGTGTGGGGACTTAAAATTAACTAAACTATACTATATTTAATAATAAAAATACTCTACCTGACCATCTAGGTCTTCCAGTCGTGACCAAGTATAATTTATGTATTAAAAGTTTACACTAGATTTCAACGAAGAAGACCCCGTGTAGCCTAACCAAAATTTTAATTTAAATGAAATTGTTCTGTTCCAGTATATACATATATCTATTCACCTACCTCGAAGAAAAAGTCTTGCAAGATGAAAGGGATATTAATTTAATTTTCATCCATTCAAAACCAATCCAATAGAGTTAATTGATTTTATTATCCCATTTGGTTTAATAAAAACAGAAAGAAACTAGCAAAGATGAAATAGTGTTATAATTAATTTGGCAATGTAAAAAATTATTATAATTATCTTATTTTAATAAGAATCTTTCAANTCTTATCCGATGGTATTTTAGGGTCTTAAAAGATTTGTTAAAGTGTCCGTAAGCTGGCCTAGACAACCCCAGTCATCAAAAAAAAAAAAAAAGTAAATGATATATATATATATACACTAAAAAATTCCTATTCCTACTCTTTCAAATCTTATCCCATGTTTGGCTAGTTGACTTAACAGTGACCTATATAGCCACCATTTTAAGGATTTGGTATTATAAGAAAACATATCAAGCTTCTCAGAAAGAGGAAAATAGAAAATAAAAAAATAAAAAGGACCAAAATATATTGGAGCCACTTGCACATGGTCTACTGGTCTTCGAAGGTGTTCTAATTAAAGAATATATATAATAGAACCTCTCTATAGTCATAATGTTGGATCAATTAAATTTATTACTATAAGGGGGTTATAATTTAATGAAGGTGTAGTTACAAGAATTATTGATTTGATTTCTTAATTTATAATTCATGTTTTAATAGTATTATGACTTCAATTCATTGTTTTCATAGCATTAGGATAATGCATAAATGGATATCAAAGAGCCACTGTAAAATTGAGTAATCAGAATTGACAACTTCACTACACTAATTAAATAGATATTAATGTTTTCCTCAATCATCAAAATGAGCACTAAGTTGTGTATGTTTTAATTAAAGAAGATATCATTATTGGAATTAGACAAGAAGAGGAAAGAGATAATCATGAGGATGATAGTATGGAAATATAAAAAATTTCATGCCAAGAAGCTCTAAACATGCTTGAGAACTAGAAATATTTTGGCTTCAACAAGAAGGTGTCCATGCTGGTGGCTTATTACATACCTACAAGATAAAATATGTGATAATAATTCTAAAGCATAAATCATTATCCCAGACAACTTTAGATAAATATTTTATTTCATCTTAAATCTTTAATGTAACATAACATATATTTTTTGTAATATACATATAATTATTACTATGTAAAAGTAAGTTCCTTAAGACTTGACTTAGATAAATTATAACTTATTACAATGTAAAAATTATTTTTATTTATAATTGGCTAAAGTTGAGACTATAATTTTTTATGACTACATAAAAGTTATTCCTATATAGAATATTACTATATAAATATTTTACTATATTAATATATACATGCCTCAGCTCCATGCTCGTAATATTCGAATATTGCATAGTGTCCCAATGAAAAAATAAAATAATTAAGAAAAGAACTAGTGATAATGTATAAAAGAAATTGTTTTGGTTACTACGTAGAGACAATTTAGTCCACCTACTTTGTTTTTGTAATTTAATTAAACAACCTAACAATTAAATCCTTCAATGAAACCCAACAAAATATCTATTTTTCGCTTTGTTGGAATTTCGTTGAAATCATACTTATTATGGAAACTTTTTTTTTTTTTTTTTAGTGACCGAGGGTGTTTGGACCAGCTTGTGTACACCTTAACTAATTTTTCGGGGCCTTAAAGTTAACGACCAAGTAAACCCTCCAATGGCCACCCCTATTAGCAAACAACTAATTTCCCAAGATCCTGAAGTTAACGATTAAATAAACCCTCTAATAGTTACCCTAGTAGCAAACGACTAATCTCCTGTGGCCCTCAAGTTAACAACTATGTACACCCTTCAATGGCTACCCCTATTAACAAACGACTAATCTCTTGAAGCTTTGAAGTTAATGACTGGGTAAACCCTCTAGTGACCACCCTTATTAGCAAACGAGGGTAATCGAACTCAAAACCTCTTGATTAATATACCCAAGAGTCGGTATCGCCTCACTCAACCACCCAGGGGTGGTTTATTTATTTATTTATAATATTATAACATGCTAGTCGTGATGCATGACTTACTATTGGATACCATGAAATTAATCTATTTCAATTGTAAGTTGTAAGTTGAATGACNCAATCAAGCTAACAATAAATTAAACATACAATGTTCAATTTATTACAAAATGTTTTAGATCAGAGAGTAGTTTTTGTCTAAAAAATTTTTAAAAGATTCTATTTCATTAACAATTCCTACCGTAAGTAAACAATAGAATCCTATTTTATTCTCCTCTTTTCATCTACCATTCCCATTCCAATTTCATAATATTCCATGAAGTAAACATGGCCTCAGTTATTATATTCATACTAGATTTCCCCCTTTCTTTCTGCTCTACCTAGTTTATCCTCGGTTTTTTCTTCCCTATTTCTAGGGGTGAGTGGTTCCAAATACCCTACATTTTTTGAGAGAACCAGAACCGAAATTACGCAATGCAAGTTCCTAAAAAAAAGAAATCATTACCGGAACTGCACAGTGCAGGTTCTTAAATTCAAAGAACAAACCTAAAATATAAGTTCCAGTTCCTTTCTCGAATACCCTATAAAAAATCAATTACCCCCAATTAGTTTAAAAAATGACAAAAATTCCTTAAAAGTTTACAAATACACCCGTAACAAATTTTAATTATTCATTTATGTCCAATGTGACTTATAAATCCTCTAATATCTAGGCAACACTTGAATTCAATCAGTTCATCACAATTCACATTAAATTCTTCAATCAAAACCAAAACACAAACAATTAATTAAATTAATTAAACAATCATTCTATAAATCTATAATTTAATATTATAATTAATTAATTTCTAATCATTAAATTAGTATTGCACTAATGTTTATAATTGAATATTATAATTAATTAAATAATCATACTATAAATCTATAATGTAATGTTATAATTAATTAAATTTTTAATTATTTAATTAAGTAATGTACTATTGAAGTAAATTACTACTGTTTACAATGTAATGTTATAAATTTATAATTAATTAAGTAATCATTTAAGTATGTATTGTTATAATTAATTAAGTGATTATAATTTAATGTAATGTTATAATTAATTAAGTAATTATTTAATTATAATGTAATGTTTTAATTAATGAAATTTCTAATCATTTAACTAAGTGTTATACTAATGTTTATAATAGAATGTTATAATTAATAAAATAATCATTTAATTAAGTAATCATTTGTTTATAACATAATATTATAATTAATTAAGTAATCATACTATTAATTTATAATGTAATGTTATAATTAATTAAATTTATAATCATTTAATTAAGTATTATGCTAATGTAGTAAGTTACTAATGTTTATAATATAATGTCATAATTAATTAAGTAATCTTTTAATTATGTAATGTTATAATTAATTATGTGATCACACTATAATGTAATGTTATAATGAATTAAGTAATTATACTATAAATATTTAATGTAATATTATAATTAATTAAATTTTTAATCATTTAATTAAGTATTGTACTAATCTTTATAATAGAATGTTATAATTAATTAAATAATCATTTAATTAAATAATCATTTGTTTATAACATAATATTATAATTAATTAAATTTCTAATCATTTAATTAAATAATGTGCTAATGTAGTAAATTACTAATATTTATAATATAAAATCATAATTAATTAAGTAATCATTTAATTATGTGATCATATTATAATGTAATGTTATAATAAATTAAATAATCATACTATAAATCTTTAATGTAATATTATAGTTAATTAAATTTTTAATCATTTAATTTAGTATTATATTAATGTTTAAAATATAATGTTATAATTAATTAAATAATCGTTTAATTAAGTAATCATTTGTTTATAATGTAATGTTATAATTAATTAAATAATTATATTATGAATCTATAATATAATATTATAATTAATTAAATTTCTAATTNCAGTGTTTTATCGCGAAAGAGCTGCCGGAATGTACTCTGCATTACCTTATGCCCTTGCACAGGTAAGTCTAAGGAACTGAAATTAGGTGTCAATACTTAGAAACTTTTTCTGTGTCCATATTCAACAACTTAACTCAATTGCACTTATATTTTATGCAGGTGGTTTCTGAGATACCATACGTCTTCATTCAAACCATATATTATACCCTCATTGTGTATTCCATGGTGAGCTTTGAATGGAAAGTAGCCAAATTCTTTTGGTTCTTCTATGTCACATTCTTCTCCTTCTTATACTGGACATACTACGGAATGATGACTGTTTCCATCACACCAAACCACCAAGTAGCAGCTATTTTCGCAGCAGCATTCTATGCACTCTTCAATCTCTTCTCCGGCTTCTTCATCCCAAGACCGGTATGTTAATCAGCTTACTTGACTCTCAAGCAACTATAAAAACGCAACTTAACCGTATGCATTCTAACATAAAGTACTTGTTGAAATTTCAGAGAATTCCCAAGTGGTGGGTATGGTACTACTGGATTTGCCCGGTAGCATGGACAGTTTACGGATTGATCGTGTCACAATACGGAGATGTCGAAGACCTGATTCGAGTGCCCGGAATGGAAACTAGGCCTAGCATAAAGTGGTACATTGAGGACCATTTTGGGTTTGATCCAGACTTCATGGGACCAGTGGCTGCAGTTTTGGTTGGGTTCACAGTCTTCTTTGCCTTCACGTTTGCCTACAGCATAAAGACTTTGAACTTCCAAACCAGATAGAAGAGAATTCACCATGGCCAAATCTTGTTGAAGCATGTGTCACAGATCAAATTAATCAGCGTAAATATAAATATTATTTATTAAAATCAATTAGATTATGGTTTCAATTCTGCTAAGCGTATGAACTTTGGAATCTGTAAAGTTGATTTCAATTTGCAGATGGTCATTGTAACCATTTAGATAATGACGAATATGGGTTTAGTTTACAAAGTTTTGGAGTTTGGATATGTAAATGTAAAAGATTACTATATATTTAATGAGAAATGCATTCATTTTGGCATAAAATTCTTCCATTTCTTTTTATATATCCGTTCACATTCTTACGTTCCATTTATGTGTTAAGAGTTATCGTAGCATAAAACAAGAGTTAACGACTGTTTTTCCTACCTAAATAATAGTTTAACGACACTTTCCCATCCATCAACTTTAAAATAACATCCAAATTTATATTTTGGTAGCAAACCGAGGGTAAATTCGTTCTAGATTGTTAAGATTTTTGACAAGGGGATGTCAATGAGTCTTTTGCTACAAGAAAAATGGCTTTCGGCTTCTAGCAAAATTAGATGCAGATCGTTCAATTTAGATGCTGATTATCTTATGCGTCTAAATTTACGTAGTCACCAAATAGTTGCAGAATCGTTGTCACAGAAAGAATAGACAACTAAATATTAGGTTAGATGCGGAAATTTTTTTTAGCGACTAGCAGTTTAATTACTAATTGCTGTTTGAAATAGTCCTCTGCCTTGGACATAGAATGTGTAAGGGTAATTCAATATAATTATATCGCGACTAATTAATTAGTTGAAAAATGTATCTTTTAGAGAAAAAAATTAATTGTGAATTCCAAAAAATTTAGACCCTGAATGTAATTCCAAAAAATTTAGACCCTGAATGTGTAAAGATACTTTGGTAAAAGTGTTTCCCAACTACTCTATTAGTTGAAGAATATGTCTTTTAATGCGAAAAAAAATTAATGCTAAATTCCAATAATTTTAAACGATGAATGTTGAATCCAAATATGATAAATTACTTTCTTTTACTATGAAATTAGTTGCAAAATATGTGTTTTTATGAGGAAAAAATCAGTGACAAAAGCATTTCTTTTTTAGTTAGAAAATGTGTATGCCCAATTTGGTTTCTTACCTTTCGTAACTAATGATTTAGTTATTAAAATTAATTTTTTGCATTTAAATAATATATTAATCGATAGTATATGAGTTTTGTAATTGACCTGGTTTATATATTCAACATCAACAAAATAAGAGTGATACGATATAAAAATCTGGATCAATAACATCAAATATCGTCATTGCATATAAAATTAATAGCCCATACATGGATTTTTGTTTTGCTAAACTCAGAGAAATCCCTAATTAACCCTGCAAATGAATGTCAGCAACATTTAAGAAGTAATGGGATTCTCCGCCTTCTCCACTAATAACTCCGACATCAATCCGTGATCTCATCCCTGAAAAACATTGCTTAGAGTATTACAATTGAAAAGGCATATGATCCAGTGAGCCATTTGAATTCTTCTACAGGTAAAAGCTTTTCCACCCTTTTTTTTTACTTTGAAATGGCATGGAGTTAAAAAGGGGCAAGTGATACCTTTGACTATGCGTTCAATGGCTTCGTGAGGATCATATTTCCTACCAAAACAGATAACCACAGAAAACTCAGATCTAAAGGGTATTATTTATCCAAAAAGCCCACCAAATCAAAACCAAATTAGAGGGGGACAAACGTACCAACCAAATGTTCTTGCAAAATCAGATCCAGTGCCTAAGGGGCTGAGCTGTAGAAAGGTACAACATCATTATAGATACCCTCGAGAAATTCATTGCAAGGAGTCAATGAATCCACATGCATCACTTGGCAAAATAGAAAGCATAAGAAGCAGTGACTAAACCTATTGAATGCCATGGAAATAACTTACACCGAGAGCAGTTGAATGAGCAGACTCTCTATTGTGACTGCTTACAGTTTTTCCAGCCCAAAAGAATCCATTAACAACCTGCTGATCATAAAGCAAGATGCAACTATCTACCAGACATACAGACATTAGTAAAAAGCAATGTTGAAGTCCTGACACCATTTTACTGCTTTTTCAAATACTTTTCTCAGTCCAAAGCTTACAATAACATATTTCAGTTCAAACTTGGTTTAACCAAGGCACATGATAACAAAATACAAGGCCATTTATTTGAATAATTGTTGAACATATTCCTTCCTTGCTATCTATCCATCTAAGCTCACATAGAAAGTTCAATAGTTACCACTACCAAAAAATCAGTGATCTCTTACTGAGTTGCAGAAGAAAAAAAAAAATCTCACGCATAAAATAATGAAATTAACATACTATTTGAAAGAGAAACAAACTGCACCTCATGAAGAGTTCCATCTCCTCCAACTACAATTACAGTGTCAGCACCCTCCCTTATAGCCTGCACACCATGGGACTTGTAAATATACACTACAGAATTTAAACCAACCTCTTAATGAAGAACCTGAACTAACTTCAAGGGCAATCTAGAATGACTCCAATACCTACCTCCCTTGTTATGTCGATCGCATGAGAAGGACCAGAAGTAAAGGATTCACGTATTTGTCAGGTACACGATACACTAACTAAGCAAACATATTCAAACCCCTAAAGGAAATATCAGAATTTTCATAAATATAAGCTAAGACATCTCTTAAAATCATTCATATTTGCAGCCTGAACTTAAATAATATCAATCAGAACAGAAATAGGCAAACTCTAAGGCATAAAGAAACAAAAACATTTACAACCAAACCATACTACAAAACAACTCCAAAATTATTTTGAAATTTATGGTTGTACACCTGATTGAAAAAAAAAAAAAATTGAAAAAATCAAAGCCAAATTAATTAGACAATTCAAACCATTGGGAAGTATTTGGGAACACTATATATCCAATCTTTTCTTTTTCTTCATTCTTTTCGCATAATAAAAAACCCTTCATCAAAAGATTTGGTCCCAAAACACAAAAATCTAAAAAGTAGATTCAAATTCACAACTTGAGGTTGTTGCATTAGTTACTGGGCCAAGCAAATACATGAATAAATGCAAAAAATACTAATTATTAATAAGTCAAATAGGAAAAGAATGCATGATACAAGACAGAGGAGTGTGCAGGGATCTTATATTCCAAAGTAGCTTCAGGACAACATTGATCATAACTCTCATACATCATTTGTGAGTTGAATTCTTTCACTTATTCATGCATATAATCATCTGCAGAAAACTGTATGATCTTTCACTACTCAAACACTGACATAGCATAGTGATCCAGAATTCAGATAACTAAAAAAAAATTATTAAAAGCAAAGCAGTATATGCTACTTCATTTAGTTTTCCTCACAATTTCTCCTTGGGAAAATAATTTGGATTTTGTAGTGCATCATATGACGAAGCTAACATCGCAAGCAAAACAAAAAGAAATTTACATCAATGCTTAATATTTTGTTTGAACTAATATAAACATTGCAGGGAAATCATTTCAAGACAAACCTGTAAGGACAAATGCGTAGCCCATGCTATTTCTTGCTTCAAAGTAATTTCAGAATCCATCCGAAGGGTCTCATCTTCTGAATCCAAGTCAATCCACGAACTAATTTTTCCTGAATAGATTCAAGAATATACTGGGAGAGTTCCACGAGATTGTAATGCAAACAGAACCTTTTATCACTTTTTACCAAACCAAATTTTTTATAGAACATCCGCACCAGAGAAGAACTTTAAGCATAAATCATACTATGAAGTTGAATTTTTACAGGCCCAAACAAGTCTCTCGACCCGATTTTCTAAAAAGCAAACTCCTAAGGGAAAGACTTTGCTAAAGACAAAATCTTTCAAACAAGACTACAAAATCAAATGAATATATCAATTTCTTCTCCCAATATCTTTATTTTCTTTTAAAAACTGAACTCTTTATGCAAGATGTGTGCTAAAAATCAAAAACTTTTTGAAGCAAATTAAAAATGTCATCTGCTAGAGAGATTAACTATCCTCATAAAATAATTCTCCTGAGTAGAAACTATCACATGCTCCAGCATCAAGATAAACAAAAAACTGAAACACATATATGTGGTTAGAGGGTGTACTAAGTCATAATAGACTCTCTTTTAAGTAGGTGGACATAAATTGTTACTTTTGTGAGTTTAATTAATTAGAAAAATAACCCATCAAATTTGACGAGCAGCTTGTACTTAGAACTATTTCTGAGAATGCTTATAGCAGTATAGAACTTGTCAAGCGAGAATTGTATTTGGAGGAAAACTTGACGAGCAGAAAAGTTGGATTATCTTCTCATTGAATGTTATGTCCTATAGAGCTGGGATAGAATCAAAGGCAGACCAAGGGAAAATAAGTTCTAGACATTTTGGAATAAGCAATGGAATTACAAATCCCAACAACATTGCACCCATGCAAGGAAGATTAACAAGGTGAGCACTAATAATCAGCACTATAGCAGAAAAATAAAAAAAATATAATAACTAAAACACCATAAATTTCACTAATATATATATATATATATATATATATATATGTGTGTGTGTGTATGTGTGTGTGTGTGTGTGTGTGTGTGTGTGTGTGAACCAACTTCCAAATACAACAATAAACTAAGGCAAAGCAACTAGTAAGCCCTAATTTTGAATTGGGTAATGTATGTGAATGCCAGAGGTTGGGTGTGGAAACGGCCCTTGGGTACAACCAAAAGTTCAACGATACAAATTTCCTTGGAGCTATCTACTTGGGATATTATATCACATAGCTCTCATAGCTACCAACCTTGTATACTCTAGAAAGACCCTCATTCTTTGACTCGGTGAACACAGAGAAAAGATCAAGGGACTTTTTGGGTGAATATATGTATTATAGGAGCTAGCACATTGCCAAGGTGTCAAGATGATAGCACCACTACAAAAGGGTTCTAATACAGTTGTTTTAACACCCTAGAGAGCCATTCCCCAAAAAGACATGACCACCTCCCCTCAAAATACATAAAATGATGTGCATAGTTAAGCTCTGTTAAACTGTGCGGTACTATTTTTAATGGAAAAATAAAAAATAAAAAAAAA